TTAGAAGCGGTAAGTAATTTTCTTTAACAATGAGTTTTTGTATAATGGAAATGGTACCTACCTATTCAATCGAAAGCTTTACAAAACGAATTGAAGGGTACTCAAAACTGGGAAGGTAATTTATAAAAATAAAGTAAAAATATAAAGGTTGATTGATCGGTGGCTGAACGTGTAACCTACATAACGTCGACAAATCGGATTATCTCATAAAATAACAAAATTGCAGGTATGTTTTTGATACAAATTTTATATGGCGTGCCATCCATCGCCACTAATCCTATATTTATTTTTGCACATCGTCATACTTTATAACTGGGAATATTTGTATATTTGCATGTCGGTTTAAGTAAATTATGTTTGACACGTGTGGCAAGTCCCGAAAAAGACGACGCGTTATACAAGAATTAAAATCAATACAACACAGAAACAATTTCAAACGTGTCGACAATTTTCATCAAATATTTATAATAATGGGCCTTAATGTGTGTTTTATGCTGGCTTAATACGGTTCATTATAACATTAGCCTTTATTACCGCTGTAAACTCTCTTTTACTTAATACATTATGACTCCGCACCTGTGACATGTAACAGGAATAAGCTTTCAAAGTCGATGTCGGGAGAGAGCTGACATGCTCCGAATGGCTCTATAACAGCTGAATTGGGATCGCTATAACGGTAGGCCCATGATCCTTTAACAAATTACAACGCCAGAGCCAGGGAATACTTGCTTCGCGTGTCATTTAACTTTTATCCCATTCTTTAGTGGCGTATGTTGTTGGGTACCTAGAGCTACATTAATAATACATTTGATGTCTTTTTACCCGACTGCGTCAGAAGGAAGGTTTTTGTTCGTGAATGCCTAAGATAAAAGTAAATTACGCAAGTTCAAAAAAAATACCTATGTTAAAAATAACTATTAAAATAGCAGTAGCAGATCGCTGAAAGATATGGTATTATGTCAATTCTAATAGATGCGATTTTGTAATGAAAAAGAAAATAGTCCAATGTGAAGTCGACTGTACTTACCTAGAACTTACACGAATCATAAGAGTATTTTTTACGATCCGTTAGAAACTCTAATTGGGCCAATTACGTATGTCTACAAAACCTTGAGGTTTTATTCAAATAGAACTTACGCATAAAGCCGAAGTAAAAAGGCACCTGAAAAAATGTGGAAGAAAAACCGGGGCAATTCCTGTCGGGAATTAATTGACGCAGACAGAAAGGGGCTCAGGAACGCTTTGACTGAAGATGAGTAAACAAACTGGAATGTTGGATATCAAGTAACTATCTGTTGCTGATATTAACTACATGATAGTGCCTTATGTAAGCATTAGAGGACGATCAATCAAACTTTTCCTTTTTATATGGGGTTCTTTTTGTTACATTTTACGAGTTTTTAACTAAGTATATAACTTTCCTGCCATAACATTTCACTGCTAAGCTAAAACATATTATAATGGCAATATTGGTAACAATAAAAGTTACCTTTTGATTGATTTCAGTTTAATTAGGGTCACCATAATTTTATTCGATGTTTATGGACGAAACAAAATGGTAACGCAAGGTTTCATCTAGGCAAGTAAGTGAATGGAAAGAGTCCTTCTTCAGGTATAAAGCCCCCAATCTCCCAACATTGACAGTGCCCAGTCGATTAATTGATATTCGATTGATAGATTGAAGAGGAATGGGCGGACGGGTACTAATTGATTCCATAAATTGAGGTAATAGGCGGCGGCTTGAGGTGCAAAACTATTTTAAACACTATCGCAGAGGTTATCTAACCCAATACTATCGAGAACTGAATTAATTTAAATGTAAATTCAAAAGCTGTATCAATTTTATGGCGTCTTGACTCGATAAAATTATCTTATATTCCTAATGTTTATGGTCCTACTACTTGTCTTTCGTTCGCAAACTAGTTCGCATTAACAATTCGGTATTTCGGTTTGGCTGTAAATACGTTGAGATCATAATAATTTAAACCTGATCCATAAATTAGACAAACTGGTCATAAGAGATTCTTTGACGTTGCCAAAGCAGATATTTATCAGCAAACATTAGAAAAGTGTAAATTTTTGTAGCTTTTTTTTCTTAGTAATTTATAGAAAAGAGCGAAAAATATTATCTGCGTAAAGAATATTATCCCATACACTAAACTTTTTAATAAGAGTAATTATGAGTAAGTAACAGATGAATGGACGAATAACCAATTTAGTCATCTTAAATAAGCGATAGACCTAAATTGAATTCAATGGTCTCTCAGCTTTTGTAATTTCATCTTTCAATTGTCGCCTAAAGGAAGATAAAAGTTTGAAAGTTAATTAAAGTGAGACTGGATTAAAATGTCAAACGATATGCACCGGGGTCTGTGAAAACTTGGCAGCGACGCGAACACTGTTCATTTCATAGCAGACCGAACTCGTCACACCGAATTTCAATTAAATCTGCAAGGTGTATTTTATGATACTAGCTTTTGCCTGCGGCTTCATTTGTGGGAATTTTGGTCTGTCACATAAATTATCGTACTCGTCAAAAATATATTCATTATTGACAAAAGAACAACAATATTTTTTACACATCGCTAACACAAAACAATATAAGTTGGTCAAGGATATTTTTGAGATAAAAACTATACTATGTTGTTCTGTGCATCACAACCTCCAGGATACCTTATCCAAATCAGTTTCGTGATTTAAACGTGAAAGGTAACAGACAGACATACAGGGTTACTTTCGTATGTACTCGTATACCATTTGCCCGGATATTTAGTTATTATGTGTGGGGCAAAGCCAATCAATACCACAGTTGCGATCATTTAATGAGATACGCATGACAGGTATGGAGACGTATCCAATGCCAAGTTACTTTAGCTTGTACTCGTATTACTTATTCAGTAATTAATTATTATGAATTAAGTAAGTACCTACTGATTCAATGTTTGTAGTTTGCACGGGCCACTGCTACGAACAAGATAAATACTCGTATCGCCATTTTCTTGAAAATGCTGTACAAACAACTTTTACCATAGTGTGAAAATCTACGTTCCGAATATACTTTCACACTCTATACACAGTATATTGTTCTATTTCATAGAAACTAGTAAATAGAGGAATCGGCTCGATATCGGCTCATCACTCACAATACCGCAATGCCTTAAGACGTAAAGTGAGGTATTGTGTTGTGTGTTATCAGTTATGTTAATAGACATTACTGAGTCTCATAACACTTTTCACTTATCTATTACGAGTTGTGCTTTTAGGTATGATATTTACACACTTGACGAAAAACCAAAACAGTTAATTATAATGCAAAACGAAAAAGATACTTTAAACGAAATTAATTCTAAATAAATCTCCGGGTCTTCTAAATTTTATAAATTTTACGACGATAAAATTGACTATGATGCCTTTCACGAAGGGATAATGTAAGCAAAGAAAATTGGTTTTCTATCACAAAAGTTCACACGTCGACTCGAGCTCTCTTGTAGAGTCAAATAAGTCTTCAGAAATCGGAATCTGAAGCCATATTATTATAAAGGGCTGGGAAACGCCCCCGGGTAAAACCCGTTGTCTTCGTGTCGAAAGATTAGATTTTCTTTCTTTGAGAACTTGACGATTGGTGTGTCGCTTGACTACGTTATGATGGATTAGTTATATAAAAGTTATAAGTCAACTCGTTTTGAAATATTTATTTAAATATTTCTTTATTTGGGCTACCCTTTTTCCGGGCAATTTTATTAATACACTCACTCATAAAGCTTAGGTATAACTTATGTTTGGTAGAATTGTTTTTGATTTGATATTGATATAAGGCGATATTTCGATACTTTAGACTAGACTGAACTCAATTCATTATTGCAGTTACACGTGTTCCGTAAAACATTGAATCACGTTTTGTGTGAATGTAGCTTCAAGAAATAGGTCTTCAATTGAAAAGTTTTTATAGCCAATGGTAACAAAGTTCGTGGCTGGAGTATAATTATTACTTATGCCTACTTTAGCAGCGGGCGCCAACTAACTACGACCGTTTAAGTTAAATACTGTTGTGGAACTTACCAATGGCTAGTAATATTTATCTTGATAAATTGCTGGAGAATATATTATGGTAATATTATTCTGAATTAAATTTATGATTTACGAGTACTTGTATTGGCGAAGTTTTTCTTGACATGAATGAAAAATGATTACTTTCATGTAATCATAACCACTTCAGTATCTTTGTAAAATATCAATTTTACCTATCCTTAACATACTACNCATACTATATGACTTCCTTGTATGTATGTAATAACATGGTAAATCCTATTGACAACCACTCAACTGTGCATAACATATGCGTCCATAAACAATAATATCAGAACTAACAGAATTATTCAAGTGTAGATTCCGGACTGACATGTCTTAACGACCCCATTTAAGCGTGACACTAATGTATAGCGCGAATCAATGTTGGGTTGTTTGTTTTGAATTGGACCACAAACCCGTTCATTTACCCTGTTAAATACATTTGCTCAGTTGACGTCGGCAATAATAGAGATCGGGGCGTTAGGGACCGTACCTGTTGCGGCGCGCTACGTGCAAGGAATGTTGAACGGACCATTCTGCGGATGTCGTTCAGCCATAACTAAATTCTATACGGCGCGGTATATTAACGTTTTGATTGAACAACGGCTCAGAAGCCAATTTATTTCACGATTTACGACGCGAAGTGGATTCGATACGGTGATACTAACGCAGTTTTCATTGTGTTGTATATTTTTTCATTCTACCATGGATACAATTAACTTTATGAAAGGATTTACCAACAAACGTGCCATAACTACCTAAACAAGAGTTAAATCGTAACTCAGTACGAGTTGCGGTCTGACTTGTTCATTGATTGACCTAAATTGTCTAACAATAACATTCGGGCCGCCTTTGTGGGGCCCCTAGCCTAGCCTCAATGCATAAGCGGCATTGTGGTTATGTGTGACTTACTTTGATCGTGATTAACCGACCTTATGATCCTGAAAGTGATCTTAGATTTCCTTTTGATCCTTATGGCGTGTCGTCTTCGAGCCAGGGCGGCGGCGCCCGCGAGCAGCGAGCTTTGGGCTTCGCCGTCGCTGCCCGGCTCGCTGCTGCTGTCGTCCTCGCGGGGGCAGGCCAGGGGCGCGGGCTTCGACGGTCCCGTGGAGCCCCTCCCCCACGACAGCATGGAACTCCGCAGAGACCTGAGCGTCTCCGTTGTACAGGCCCTCTCGCTGCCTCGCCACCATGCAACAACATATCGACGCGTCGGCGGATCGCACTTCGCGGCACACTCGAACCACGCGCACTATTCACCATTAACTCCGCTAATTGGCTAATGTTCTACATGCCTCGCGAGTGACGTCACACCATCACTATCCGCACTGTCTTCGCGTCGAGCGTAGGAAGCACGTGGTCTGCTTTGTGATAAGAATGCAAATGCCCACTCACGGCATAATGTTCTCGCACAGTTCTGCCGACATTATCAGAGAGCAAACACGGGTATCTGTGGCGAGCACACTGCACACTATCTGGATCGGGAACGCGGTTATTGTGATGATATCACACCTGTGGTATCACATGTAGATACAGTGCAGACTGAGTTTGTGCCGGATCGACGTTTTGTTTTATTTGTATCGCGCCAGCTGTTAACAAAAAATGAGAGTACGCTAATGGTGGCCCGTACTTAATGCCAGCGGGAGCGTTGTAGAGTTAGTTGTGTTTTATTCCAAATCCAATAATCGTCGTGTGAGTCGCGTCTGTCTGAGTCATGTCAGACGACAGCTAATTATACTAATATTTAAGGATGTTGTGCATTAGAATACAAAAGGTCCCATCGAAACTGTTTCCTGTTAGGCATTCAACAGTTACTACACATCAAAATATGAGATACAAGTAGAGCAATCCAGATACATATAAAGAAACCAGTTCTACAAAAGCCTTAAAAGTGTAGGATAACAACATGGCCAAATGTCAATAAGGTTAATCTGTGAGTGACATAACAAAATGTGTACTAAATATGGGATTCTGATAATAATTTGATAAAACACACGTTTTCCATTGTCAACAGCTGGCATAGTTTAGCACAAAAACTTATCACTTGCACTGTTCTTTGGGATACTACGCGTGTTTGTTTAGACGTGTTCGGCTCGGGGAACATGCGCGCGAACTAAAGTTCCTTAACACTTGCGCGGGCGCCGCGTGCCGCCGCGTCTCGCGACACTCGCGCCGAAATAGAAATGCTCAAGGGACTGCATGGAGCACTTGCTACCTTGTCGAAAGAGGACCGAGCACCAACCGCACTCTAGTTGGCTCCGAACAACAACATTTAAATGTAATAAGAACACAAAACACGCACGCGCATTGAATATCGTTTTAAATTAGTGACAGTTATTTTTGACGTGAATGTATTTTGTTTGCGTCTCTTTATGCCTTTATACTACACATAAGTATTCCATTGGATACTAAATTAGTTTTTTGGCCGTCGTCGCTTCGTGTGATAAAGGCATCAATGTTTTGTGTAGATACGAATGTTTACAGAGATTTTGATGGATTTTCTCTACATTTTAATGAGATAAATGTTCTATTCGTGTTTGTAAAGTTTTAGTTTTTCAGCATCCCTTTTACATTGCTTGTTTATAATGGTCCGTGGAAGAGAAAACACCAAACTTATTTGAACTTGGTAGGTAAGTGAGGCGAGCTTAACTTAGCTTTTAAATATTTTATGACAAGACGGTATGAAGAGTTAACGAGCCAAAAGATAATATGCGTTTTCCTGAAACATTTTATCTCTTTAATATTGTCAGAGTTTCCGCAAATATACCTTTACAACTTTTCCTTTGTTTAACCGCAAACCGTAAAAGTTTGTTATGACGAAATGATTATTTTAAAATTGAAGCATGATATTGATATTTTAGTTTTAGCTAAACATTGTCCGCCAAACAAAAGATCCTTTGTCCGTATCCCACCATCCGTATAGGCTACTTTTTCAGGTGACATGACGTCACTGTGAAAAGTGAACTGTGATATTGGTTCGTAATCAAAGCAAAATATCTGCAGTTATTCAAAACTAGCTACCTATAATATTATGGCATTGATAATAGCCCATCAATTTTAAATGAAAATCAAAATACAACTCTAACGCTTTAGGTGTAAATAGTTTAGTAAGGAAAATATTATGACCAATCAGCTGTGATATCTCTTAATGAAGAAAGGTTTATACGAAACTCTGTAATAATTAGGTTATTACTTTCCTGTTAATATGACCTAAGCAGCCCCATAATTGGATGTAGGTATTTTTCGGATATCAATTGCGTAAAAGGATAACGGGGATAAAATCGTATGAAACCTACCTACATGGTAATTATGATTATGTTATACAAATAATATAATTATGTTATTTTTGATAAGCTAGCACACATCTTAAAAGCTATTACTATGCTATGATAAAATATAAAAGTAGTGTATATTTTTTATTAAAAAAAGTTAATTAACTTCTAATAAACTTACTTATAAAGCGATTTGTAGAGGCAAAGTATCTCAATATGTATTAAGTAAGCTTCAGAATAGATTTGTATAAACGAGTCATTCATTACATGGCGCCTTCTCGTGCCACTAATGGCTGGAGCGTGAGTCGGCTGGCTTCAGTGAACAGCTTTTTTTCCAACTTGTTGATTCAAAATTGAACTTTAATGTTTTAACGATATGTTCTATTTAAGGATATTCCGCAGCTTTCAATATTACGAATTCGTGACGAGATACGACAAGCACACACGGTTATTGCAAAAAAAAGCTTGACATAGTTAGTAGAGGTAGGTACCCAAGTTTTTGGTCATGGTTAGACAATCGGCAGTTCAAGGCTGTAACATCTAAGTACACAACAGACTTTATGTCTTTATTTCCAAAGGTTTAACTGGCAGAAAATACCCAAATGGCATTAAGTTCGCTTTATGTACCAACTTTGTGGCAGCAGCTTTCCGCTATCTGTCCCTATGTATGCTTAGGTCTTTAAAACGCAACGGATTTTGATGCGGTTTTTTTAGTAGATAGAGAGATTCAAGAGGAAGGGTTATAGGTATTTATTTACATGCATATTATAGAAGAGAAAAGCCTGGAAATTCCATTGCAACCGTGGGGCGGGCCGTCCCGGCTTCGCACGGTTGCACAAAGAAAGTCAAAGAATAAATAAATATGAGCTTTAGGAATCAATGTGGTATCTGACAAGGCTCAATAATATTACTATTGGATACTTAGATTGATTAAAGCCTACAACTTTTATGCCACTTCGCAAAATTATTTTCCTCCGCTTCGACTGTCCCAACTGGGAATTTAACGTCAATTTTTTCCGCTTATACATATTTAAATAAACGTCATAGAAACAAAGGTAGACAATACTTATATTTTAAAAGCATTATATCGCGGAAATTCACATTCATGGGAATCAAACTTTCATCCTGCATAAGCAACTACGTAATGTTAGTACACTTAATAATGTCAACGTATAGTACCTATATCGCTTTCACGAAGCACAAAATACGGTTAAAATTAATTGATTTACCTACCTAACTACATAAGTTGGCTACGCAAGTAAAACCTAAAGTTTAATTGGAAATTCTACAAGCTTTGGGAACCTACATCCGTATACGGCTACGAGCCCCGTGACTATGAACACCGCCTTGTTTCCGTTCACTTTTGATATACGTATGTGTATTTAAAACTTTAGACTACACGTACCTAGGTAAAAGACATCTTAAAAATCTATTAATTAAAAAGAGTTCGCGTCAATATTTAAAAATCGTCGTCCCGAACTAACCTTAATAATTATACACGTGATAGTGATAAGCATAGTTAATGCTAAATAAAATAATGTAGAGACCATTAAAATATTTAATTCAGTTTGATTTAATAAATACTACTTAGTATTATCATTATCCTATTACTATTATAATTGCTGAAACCTATTGTTGAAGACTAAATTATTAGAGCAAAGTTTAATGTAGCTTATAATTTACTTAATTAATAGTTTTCAAATATTATTAGAACAACTTGATACCTTAATTATCCCTGTAAACTTATCTTGTTTTATTTAGTTTGTTTTTAGTGTATTAAAGGGTATAATATTAAAGTCAGTTATATTAGAAAAGAGAAGGAGTTTTACGATTAATTCGCGTTTTAGCAGTTCATTAAATGGACTTCAATCGTGTGGTGGTGTTTATAACCATAATAAAGCTTTCTGTGGGCTTAGGTCGTACGCACGCGTATTATAGAATGTAATAAAATAGTAATTCGAACCAATTAAGGAAATATTATGTATGACACAAGTACCTATAATAGCTTGATGAGGTAGTATGGGAACAAAATAAGCTGTCCGTATCTTATTTAAGGTCCTGATTTTACAATACAATTACGATGGGTGGAAAAACTCGAACCTATACCCCTACCAAACCAGCTGACTTTAATCTATTTATGTGTAGGTACTTATCAATTAAAGGTGATTAGTGACAATAAAACTTTATTTTTGTAGCAAGATCGATAACGATCACAAGTTGTCCTGTGCAGCAATCCAATTTGGTAGTCGTGAGTGGATCATTTGCGCTCTGCCTAATAGCTGATTACTATTTACGCTTTAGCTTGAATCTAAAATAACGTCCAACTCGCAGATATGCAAATACCCGCCCTCCAAGAAATTTAGCCGACCTGCGGTGAAAAGTTTACTTTTACAAACGAGATTCTCTTCAGATTCTATATTTAAGATAAAGTATTCTTTAAAGTTGTAAAACGTAGGTCAATGAACTAGTTTATGACATAAAGAAACCAATTACTACCTTAATCGTTTTGTCCAATGTCGATAGGTAGGTAAACTATTTTTAAAGTAAGTGTGTGAGTAATTAAGAATACCAAAGTAGATAATTTAACTCTAGCTTAATTGAAGGTAAAGTTTCCACTTTAAAATAATCATATTTTGGTGTGACGTTGTCTGTTTGTTACATATACAGTGAGATTTAATATACAGGGTGGAATTTTGTAATGCCACCTGGAGGGAAAGTACTCTTAATATTGTAGATAGAAAAAAATTCTCAAAGAAAACATTCCTTTATCTTTGGAAATAAATAGAACTGCATTCAAAGATTTCCAAAAATTAGCTTGCCACACCCGGGAATCGAAAAAACTAAAATCTGTTAAAAAATACACCCTGTATTTTTATTGCATCGATCGTTAGGGTTAAGTATAAGGATGAAATCTCTCTAACAAACTTGATAAATCAAATGAAAGAAAAACCATGAAATCTTACATTGCTTTAATTATGTGCAGAAAATTGTATGGTATGGTAGTGAATTTTCGTCAATTTTTCGAAAATGTATGAATGCAGTTCTTTTTCTTTTCAAAAATAAAGGAATGTTTTCTTTCAGTAAAATTTTCTATCTACAGTAATAAGAGTACTTTCCCTGGAGGTGGCATTACAAAATTCCACCCTGTAGAACTAATTACCAAGACTTATTTTTTAACATTGTTCGCTAAGCTGCTATTTGCAATTCTTGAGAAAACAAAAACCGATCATACGAATTTTATTTTTAATTTATTTATTGCGTATATTAGGACCAGAATAATCACTATTGGGTATACCTAAACGTTACTGGTGAGCACATTTATGGCGGGGCAGGGCATCATAGCTCATAGCACTGATAGTTGGCCGTTGGGCCAGAAAAGTCACGGTGTAGACAAGTCTCCCACTCGATGGACCGATGGTCTTTTGAAGGTCGCGGGTAGCACCTGGATGCCGGAAGCGGATTTTCCACAACGACCGACTTTGGTTGACACGAATGTACATTATGAAAATGAAAGCTTTATAGGTGAGCGAATGTGAATTTAAAATAATCAATACCCTTCCAATTAGTCTATATTGATAGTGTTTCGTAATCAATGCTTCGGCAGACATAAGCGATCGCGTCAAAAGTAGATCGGTGATCGATCCCAGCAGGTACAGCGTCAATCGCCGTCAGAGCGGTATAAATACGCGGGAGGTGCGCGTGCGTCGCGACATTTCGCGGCGCCGCAATCGCAGAACATCTGCCAAGTGATAAACGTTATTTATAGACAAATATGCGCGTGACCGACCACTTTAGGACACCACTCTATTTACAGAATTCATTTAATAAAGCAATGCTCGAAGATAAACACGGAAGATTATAATAAGATTAAAGAATTTTCGCGTTTTACAGATTTCAGGCATAGTCTATTTATGAAAG